GGCCAGAGGCCCTGGCTCAAGGCATTTGTCACCATTTGGGACTGCAAAGGACATGAGGGTTTGGGTGTTAAGTGCTCCAAGGAGGTAGCTACTGTCATACACAGGGCCATCTTCCTGGCCACGCTCTTCTTCATCTCTGCGCGGTGAGGCTACAGGGGGAGCAGGATCACAAGCCCCACACTGTCCCTGTTGTAAGCTATGGCTCTGTGCTGGTGCACCTCATCTCTGCCTCCAGGGGCGCTGACATCATCTCAGCCCCTGTGCCCAAGAAACTGTTGATGATGGCTGGTATCGTCAACGGCTACACCTCAGCCAGGGGCTGCACTGCTACCCTGGGCAACTTCACCAAGGCCACCTTTGATGCTGTAAGTCAAAGACCTATAGCTCTTTCACCCTGCCCACTGTTCAGAGGCCATGTTCACCAAGTCTCCCTTCACTGACCATCTTGTAAAGACCCACACCAGAGTTTCTGTGTAGAGAACCCAGGCTCCAGCTCTGACTACCACATTATATAAGAAAAATAAAGTAAATCAACCCTGTTAAAAAGGGGAAAAAATTATTAATGCATTTTACAGATGGGGAAGCCTAAGAATCAGAGTGTCTAAATACATGTGGGAGGGTACAGAGTATTGGGTGGAATCTATGCTGGTGTGACTTTCAAGCCTATGCATTTTCCTGCTACTTAGGGGCTCAAATACAGACACAAACACATTTAAAATATCATCTCTGTCGCTGTCTTATATTGTTGATCTCTACAGTATCTGTATTCAACATTTAGAAATGTGGGATATTGTACTTTTGTGATAATCAGTGTGGATTATTTCAGCTCAGGAAAACATGTTTAAAAACTTGTGACAAGATAGCTTTAGATAAAATATTTCACAAAAGTAGTGCTAGATACTATTAGAAGACTTCAGGGAAGTTCCTCCAACCACTAATTAAACCGAAAGCAAAAACAAACCTCAGTAAGAGGTTTACAGTGTTTTTTTTATTGAGCGTTTACTAAATGTGAGGTACCATGTTATGCAATTTACACATTGTTTAAAATTTCACAGCAAAATAGGGACAAAACTTGGGCTATTTGACTCCCAAATAGCTATACTTCTAAACCACGAGGCTTTTACAATGCTATAAAAATCTACCAAATGAAAATAATGGGGGATGAAGAAAAAGGGAAATTTAACTGAAAGTTTATCATGGTCCAAAATCAATGACCAGGGCCACCATTTATAGTAATTAGATGAGTTAACTACATTGTGTAGCTTGCAGGGTCAATGTGCAAAGCTCAATGATTTCTTCAGGTCAGGCATCTTCTACCCTTTTGTCTCATTTTGTTTTCTTTATAGCACGTTCACTTACTAATATCTACAATTGTTTCATTACTCGTCTGTCACTGATCCCACCTCACTAGAACATAAGTTCAATAAAATTAAGAACCTTGTCTTTCTTGTTCAATGCTGTATTTCAAGTGTCTCAAGTTGTTCCCAACATATAAATATTAGTTGAATGAATGCATAAATGATTGGCCTTCCCTCAACGTAAATAGCAGAGGTTTAGACTTACAAACTGTGGTTGAAAAGATCACATTAAAAGACATGCATTATTAGCAATTTATTAGTGTTTCATTTTTAGGTTGGCTAGGATACATTAAAAGAAAGGGAGGAGGAAGCTGGAGGAAAGAGCTGGAGGAGGGTGTTGGAGAAAAGGGGGAAAAAAGGAATATAAACTGGTAATGATAAGCCCTTAAATATGGGAGTAGGGGTTGAAACATCAGAAATTTGGAGGGCCGGCCGAGTAGCGCATTGGTTAAGAGCTGGCTTGGGACGCCAGAGGGCCCTGGTTCAGAACCCACATATGAGGGCCAGTGACACTGCCCTCCACAGCTAAGATGCTGAACAACAGCTCAACCTGGAGCTGGGCTGCCTTGAGTTGCGGCGATGGCGTAGTCTGCAACCCCTTGTGGCAGTGGGTTGCCATGGGCTACCGTGTGTAGCCAGCAGCCAGCATGAATGGCCAGCAGCTGCAGTGAGCAGCCGTCCAGGAGCCAACGACTGATCTGCCTCACCCGGGAAGAGCGCAATGATGGTGCCAACTTGGACCAGTGAAGCAACGTCCTCCACAACTAGACTGAAGAACAAAACGACAGCAACTTGTCTGTTCCCTGCTCCAATTCCCCAATAAAAT